AGAGGCTCTGCAGGCCAGCCCCTCTGGAATTTCCCCCTGCTCTGGAACTTTGGAGGGAGGCTCTAGAGGCAGTGGGTGGATCTGAGGAGTGGTTGGCTGCACTCTTGAGGGACCTCAGCCAATCCCCAATAGAAGGCTTGGCAAGGGGCTGGGACACCCTTAAAAGTGTGTTAGAGCAGTGTTGTCCAAAGTTTGTGAGTCCACAGAACCCCCGAAAAACTTTTCATCGTCGTGGAACCTCACTCCTCCACCAGAGTGAAAACATTATTTAATGTGATCAGTAATATTTATTCAGGTCCATCTTTTAAGACTTAAGACTAACAACTTTTATTATAATACTAGTATAATTGGAAATTGAAAATGAAGTCTAGAAATACATAAACATCAATTCTTTCATAGCATGTCATGAACTTGATTATATGAGAATTGTAGTGCAAGAATCGTAGTATGCTATGAGCATCACAGCCATACATACATACATAAGAAGCCAATTATTAATATTGAAATCTAAAGGGAAGTGTGAGCTTGCTTGCGATCGCAGATCAAACTTATTTGAGGCTCGCTGGTGGACAAGCTCACACGCATTTCTTTATTGATTATTTGAACTCTCTCTTGTTTCTTCAACTTCATTTCCGTTAATACTGAAAACCCCTGCTTGCAAAGGTATGAGCAACCGAACGGCAACAGCAATTTAATCGCTTCCATGCTAAGCAGTGTTATATTGAGCTTCCATACATATCCAGAATTCTGAGAGCTCTTTCTCGGCAAAGAGATTTTTATACACCAGATCATTTCTCAAATTGATGAGGTTTTCTTCAACTTCTGGTTTGAGAAGAATGATTTCATGTTTGACGAAAGGATTGAGCACCCACTCGATTCCGGAGACATCCAGGTTTGACAAATATTTCTGGAAAGAAAGTTTTAAATATTTCCAGATTCTTTCTGCAGAAACCTTGGAGCTTCTTGCGGAACCCTTGGGTTCCGCAGAACCCACTTTGGACAACACTATGTTAGAGCCTGCTCAGTAGGGGGAGTGTGTGTGGGTGGAAGATGGAGAAAGTGAGGCTGGGATGCAGGCCTGGGAGGGAGCCCAGGCTGGAAGGGGCTCACTTCCAGGCAGAGGGACCTTGAAGAGAAGAAAGCTGTGGACTTCACAGTCCTGGTACACCAGGAAAGGCTGGAGAGGTCTCCTACAAGAGGATTTCTGTGTGAAGACTTGTAATATAGTTCAGGAAGTTTTGTCTTTTGTTGCCATTACTTTTGGGAATCCCATACACCCCTTACCCTGTGAAGTTCTACAGCTCTAATAAAACTTTCAAACAAAGCTCAATGACCAGTTTTCTGTCTCCTGAAGGAAGTCTGAATGTAAGTGTGTAATGCCTGGCTGTGCAGGACTATAGGGGGACCCAATTCTTCAGCAACTCCTAAGCGGGTAGCGCTACATAAATAAGCCTGTAAAAGTTAATGTTTTTCTGCTCAGGGTAGGGAAAAATGCATGTGACTTATAACTGTAGAGTGAGAGCTGCCTCTTCATCTGTGTGGCCTGTAGGCACAAGCCTACTGTGCCTAATGGTAAAATCAGTCCTTCATTTCCTGTCCCTGTGACACATCAGTAAGTTAAAGGAAGCGGGTGGAATTCCACTCTCAGAAAGTTGTCACTCGAATAGGTGTACACTATATGAAGATTTGCTTCAACTTAATGGCGAGCCTCCATACACCTTATTTGGGTTCCTCACCTGCTAGGACAGCACTAGATGCTGACTCTTTTCTTTCAAGGCCAACAAACCCAAAAACTGAGAAAACTAACCATCTTAATGTAGCCAGTTGCTGGCTATAACAGTATGCCATTTGGGGACATTTACAGATGAGACTATGGTTACTCCTTTCCCTCTAGTGCCCAGTACTGGGGCCTCTACATCAATTCCTGTTAGAGTGGATTCCGTTTTTCTGACAGCAGAGGATCTTGGGACCTATAGTCCTATAGCAGATGCATCCTGTATTCCTGAGTGCTGATTGACCTACAACTACCAGATAGCTGGTGAATGAGGAGGATGCTGGAAAAGCAGATATATTCTACAAGGGACTGGCTCTCTCTCTTGGCATGGGATTCAATGCTGAATACCGGGGGACTGTTGTTCTCCTCTGGAGACAGATTGCTGGCTCACTGCTGCAGGACTCTGCACATCAGTTCAGCACAGCAGTGACACCGACAATGTTGTATTTAGGTTTTGTGCTGCTCTAGGCAACACAAAAATCATGTGTCCTCCCCCCAATTCCCATGTGTCCTCCCCGCCCCCTGCTTGTGTAAACAAAAAAAATCTTCATCACCCCCCACAAGTAGTACAGTGTTACCATGGTGACACTGTACTGCTAGGGTGACAGTATGTAAAAAAAAACATAAAATAATAATATAAAAAAATAAAAAAAAAAAATGTAAAAAAAAAAAAATTTTTAATTATAATTTTTGGTTATAAACTAATTTGGGTTATTTTGTTTTGACTAACAAGATAACTGAATACATTTTGGCCAAGATTTATAATGAAATATTATTTATTTGCAAAATTTTATAAGAAAAACACTTTTTTTCAAAATTTTTGGACTTTTTCATTTATATAGCAAAAAAAAATAAAAATCCCAGTGGTGAATAAATACCACCATAATAAAGCTTTATCTGTCTCAAAAAAATGCTAAAATATTAATATAGGTACAGTGTTGCATGACCTTGCAATTGTCCTTCAAAGTGTGATAGCGCTGAAAGCTGAAAATTGGCCTGGACAGGAAGGGGGTAAAAGTGTCCGGACAGGAAGTGGTTAATTTAATTGAATTACCAGTATTCACTAATGTTTATGGGCATCCACCATTGCCAGCAGAAGACAACGGATACCACCATATCAGGAACTTTGGGCTGTGGGCTTCACAGTCCTGGTATCAAGAGATCATTGCTTTGAACAGTACCACAGTCTGTTTAATTTCATTGAATTACCAGTATTCACAAATGTTTATGGGCACCCACCATTGCCAGCAGAAGACAACGGATACCACCATATCAGGAACTTTAAACATCACAGGACTCAAGTTGCAATCTCCAGTTAAAGGGACATCTTCTCTTTTAAGGCCATTGCTGTTCAAATTGGAGTACTTATATATTCATATAACCCAGAGTGTCAGGGGTGCCGGGAGGCTTGCAAGGTCAGCGCAACCACTGGGGACAAGCATTATTAAGCGGCCCCTGCGGGGGTAGCAGTACACTAAGCATCCACTTTTATGGCCAGACTAGGTGCCCTAAGCCAAACACTGCCTGAGCCACCTTCCCAATGGCACAAAAAATGCAAACCCCTACGCCCACTGAAAACATAGACCTGCCACCCCTCTAAGTAATCCTGCATGAGAGACCCTGACTGATATCAAACCATCACCACCTGGCCCACAAGCAATTCTCCACTTGGTATTTAGGTGGGCAGTAAAACTGAACAGGCTTAACCACCTGCACCTCCCATGCAAAGAGCCCTTGCTTTAGCCACTCACAATTATGTGACAACTAGCTTGGAATGATGTGCAAAATTTGACGATCAACACCAGCCAATCAGAAATCATCCCATTACAAACTTTTCATAAAAATGCTTTTAAAATGTTGCACCTCTCTCCTAATCCCTTTTTTATTATTTTTTGCTCTTTCTATTCCTCTTTTTATTGAGTTACATTTGAATATATTATAGATCCTGCTCTTTGCTTTATTAAATTGTGCAGCCATGTAATAATAATAATATAATTTTTCATATAAATGTTTTGTGTGATTTACAAGGTGTATAACTATTACTTAGTTTGTAACTCATGCTTATTATTTGCAGCTGGGTGCTACCTTCTTATTATTATGCTTCGTCTTCTCTTTCTGTATTTGTTACATTTAACATCTTACTAATAAATACAGATTATGTCCAATGATTGTGCTCAGTAAAAATACAGCCCATGGCCTGTTGCTGTGAAATGAAGAATACTCAGACTTCCTAGTGCTGGGATATTGGAAGACAAATGTCAGCCTCTGTACTATTTAGGAGAACAGGGGCATATTCTCAGTGGCCCTTTTGGGGGAAAGTACTACCTAATGCTAGCAGTATAAGGATTACAAATAGTCAATGTTGAGAGAGAGGGAAGTTCTGCTTTAAATTTTTGGGTATTGGGAAGAACTTCCCCCTTTAAGATCACAAGATCATTGTCAAGTGGGGGCTTATTGGAGAGGCAGACATTGCACATTGCTCACGGAACTCAAAGAAACCTCTGGAGCAGCCTTTTTATTTATTTATTTCAGGTACTTATATAGCTCTGTCAATTTACGCAGCACTTTACATATATATTGTACATTCACATCAGTCCCTAACCCTCAAGGGACATACAATCTAAGGTCCCTAAACTCACATTCATACATACACATACTAGGGCCAATTTAGACAGGAGCCAATAACCTACCAGCATGTCTTTGGAGTGTGGGAGGAAACCAGAGAACACCCACGCAGGCACAGGGAGAACATGCAAACTCCAGGCAGGTGGTACCGTAGTTGGGATTTGAACCAACAACCCTAGTACTGCCAGGTGGAAGTGCTAACCACTAAGCCACTCTGCCGCCTCTTTAAGCCAATCTCTTTACCCCAGAAGAACCCTTGAAATAATTTTCAGGTCTCAGGGAACCCCCCACTAAAACCAATTAATTTGGGTATGTGAGAAGAATGCCTCTTAAATCAGTTGTCAGCATGAAAAATGCACTTTACATTGCTGGTCAGTGTAAAGAAGGCCCCTTTTATTGGTAATGCCCCTTACCAGGGGCGGACTGACAACTCAAGGGGCCCCCGGGCAATAGGGGATCATGGGGCCCCTGTGTCCTTGCCCACACTCAAAGCCTATAAAAAGGTACCAAGGTACCAGGGGCATGTCATGGGGTCCCCTACTGACCCTGGGCCCTCAGGCAGTGCCCGAGTTCTCGAATGCCCCTTACATTAAATTGTTACTAAATCTGCAACAGTAAAATCAGTCTGTATATGCAGTAAAGCATGCTTGTGATACTCACTGTGGAACCTAAGGGGTTAATCCTCTGCATTGTGTAAAAAGGATGTTTGATCCTGTCTTCTCTGATCCTCCCCTTCTACTGTCCCCAATCCATCTGCTGATAATACAGAGCTCTGGGAGTCACTCTGCACATGCTCAGTTTACTGTGTATTGCTAGAGATTTTTCTTTCCTTTGGGAGAGTGTATGTGATCAGCACAGGGATAATCAGCACTATCCAGACAGAGGGTCAAGGGTTATGCAGCCTCATAGGACAATCATGGGAGAATGAAAACACCTCCTACAAGATTAACCAGTGCTCTTCTGGACAACTGATAGAAGTCACAAGACTGCTCTAACTGCTGAAGGTATTTAGTTTATATTTACTAAAATAATTGCATTTCCATGTTCTGTGTACTGTGGGAGACCAGATATAGTGAATACAGGGTCCGGGGAGACCAGATATAGTGAATGCAGGGTCCGGAGAGACCAGATATAGTGAATGCAGGGTCCGGGGAGACCAGATATAGTGAATGCAGGGTCCAGGGAGACCAGATATAGTGAATGCAGGGTCCGGGGAGACCAGATATAGTGAATGCGGGGTCCTGGGAGACCAGATATAGTGAATGCAGGGTCCAGGGAGACCAGATATAGTGAATGCAGGGTCCGGGGACTTTAATGATCAGAATGCCACCCTTAGGCTGGCCATACATCCAACAATCTCTACAAACTCCAATAAATCTGCTGACAAGTATCTAGTGCGAGGGTCTCTGCTGGACACAGGATGATTGGCTAGAGTAGGTAGGTCCACATATTGCATAGTTTTGGCAAATCTAAGGTTGATTGTACAGACATTATATGTTCAGGTTGTAACCTGTATGGTAGAGACGTGCATGACAGAAACTTTTGTTTCGTTTCAGATTCGTTCTTTGAGTTAATAATTTTGTTTCATCATATTCGTTATGTTAGAATGATTTGTTTTCGGAATTCATTCGTGTATTAGGATTCATTTTTTATATTCAGTATTTTCAAATCAATTCAAATTTCTGAAGAAGGCTATATGCCTTCTATTTTATTCTATTCTATTCTGTTCTATTCCACATTATTCTTTTCCTTTCTACTCTACTGTATTCTTTTATAGTCTATTCTTTTATTTTGTTTTTTTTTATTCTATTCTGTTCTATTCTATTCCTTTATTTTCTTTTGTATTCTATTCTGTTTTATTCTATTCTATTCCTTTATTTTCTATTGTATTTTATTATATTTTATTCTATTCTATTATATACTATTTTGTTGTATTCTATTCTATTCAATTCTTTTATATTGTATTGCATTCTATTCTATAAAGCAGCCTAAGTAGGAATCATCATCTTATTTCACTTTTATACCTTACTGTATTTATTGCAATATTTTCCATTTCAAATTAATTTTTAAATTCAAATTCATTTTTGAATTTGAATTGATTTTCTAATTCAGGTAATTTGTTTTGTTATCATTTATTTTGAATTTGCTGAAGTTTGTTACTATTGTTATTTAAAAATTTGTATACATCCAAAGTTCAATAATGAAAATTTTGTCCGAATTTTGATTCATAACGAAACAAATCGCACATGTCTATTGCATGGTGATCCTTACAGACAGCTAAAACGATCATTGGTGTTGTGCTACTGACTCTACCAAGTGGCATACGACCCAAAAATATGGTAAGTGCCTTCAAACGGTTCAAGGAATCCTTAGCAACCTCTGGAGGAACCCTCTGAGAAAAGATAATCTAGACTAAATATCCAGCTGGATTGATTTTTGCTCTCCTTTTCTTTAGTCAAGCTTTCACAAAGCTTCATCCAGATTGTCACAAGTTAGATAAGAAGACAAGCCAAGGTCATATTATAAACCCATAAAAGAATGTCATCATTGGGTTCTCTTCTTTCAAGCAAAGCAGAACTATGAAATAATGCCACCAAATTCATCCTTAGATTACAGAACAATTGTCTGGATCACCTCTTCAACTTTCAGTAATTCTGTTAAGCAGGCAGTTTAAACACACGTCTGGTACTTTCAATTACCGGTAACTACAACCACCCACTCTTCGCTGCGCTTCTAAAAGAATGCCTTTTAAGTGCTAATTAACTCATTAAAAAAAAAGTATAGCGATGTATAGACCTTTGAAAACTGAAATTGTTTTGTTTTTGTAGAGGACCTGTCATTGTGAGCCCTGAATGAAACTGCAGGTCACCATATTTTAGTATGGAGGGGGCTTTCAGACTAACCTGGACAATGAAGACATATTTTTTTAAAGTCAACTTCACCTGAAACTAATATTGCAGTATTGTGTGTTTGCTATCATGCTATTCTAGCTTCAGTTTCTTGGAGACTCCCAAGGTGTGAAAGCTTCACCAGGATTATTCATCCTAGCAGTGTCATGGTATAGCTCGCCTCCAATGAATTCTTCATAATGTAGGAGTCTAGAGTCAATGGAGTATCTGCTTTGTTGGGACCTTTTGGGAAGAGATGGAGACAAAAATGAATGTGGTGTTATTTTGTTGTTGGGGTCTCCAAACTTTAGGGAGCTGGGATATCCCAACTACCAAACCCATTCAGCAAAACACCACAAGATTGGTAAACCAGAAACTGTCATTCAGTCTGAATATTCTGTAATCCTTTGCTTTATTTTTCTCCCAAGTTTGTCACTTTTCACTTTTGTGTGTGTTTTCTTTCTCACTGGATGGTAGGGTGTGGGTCCTCAGGCTCACCCTGAAGTCTAGGGGGAGGATGTGTGGCCTTTTGGTTCCTTCCTCCCCTGTCCCTAGGGGGTTTTCTCTTTGGGAGAGCCCCCTACCAAGTACTTGGTGGCTGGCTTCGGCTGGCCACAGAGGAATGGGGTCCGCCAGGCCTTTTGGCTAGGCGGACCACATGGGAACCTTGTCCCTGTCAGGAGCTTCGTGCCCGGGGGGAGGACAAAGTACACCCCTAAGTGCACTTTTTTGTGTGGTGTTTTGCACTTGCACGTTTTTTGTGAACACTTACGGGTTTTCGTCTTTCGCACGTTCGTGGACTTAATAAAAAAAAATTCTGTAATCCTTTGCAGCTAATTCCAGAGAGCTCATTACACCTTCTCTGAGAATATACTGTATATCCTATCGCTTGTGTTATGTGACTTGAACAGAGGCGTCCCTAGGGTTGGTGTCACCCGGTGCGGTAACACTTGGTGACACCCCCTCCAACGATCCCTGCAGAATGGATCGGATCTGTGTATTGAGCATAATGGATCAGAGTCCGATTGTTTGTTAGTTAAAATCATAGTTTGCTCACTGTACTCAGTGAAGCTGCATTCTGATCAGTCAGGTCTTGTCAGTGTGTTCTATTGCTCTGAGGAAGGGAGTTTGACTCCTGAAATGCGTTAGCACTTTACCCAAGGACCTATGTTACCCATAATTGGCATCTTTGACTCCTTGTCTCTGTTTTTATGACATTTTTGGCTTGTGAGTATGCATTTGTATTTTTATAATAAATTCCTTAGTATCCTTACTACTGCGCCCTGTTTTGTAGCTTTCTGATAGGTGTGTTCAGATGCTGCCCGTCTGATAGCTCCCTCTGCATTCAGGGAGCTTGAGAAGTTTCTGGATGATACGTGTGGAGCTATGCAGAAGGCAGCATGAATATTGATACAGTCCTGGCCTATTCCAGAGAGGCAGGCTTTGATGGAATGCTGGGAGACTTAATATTCGGTGAGCACACTGAGCTCTGGGTCTTTCCTGGAGAGGATTAGTCCAGCCTGGAGGGGGAACGCTGCCCTTCCGAACAATGCTGCTACTGACATGAGGCCTTAGGTGGGTGACCTGAGGGCCTAAATGCTGAACACTGAGTTCTGCTAAGAGCTGACTGAGAGGCCATCTATCGAAGATCTGATCTGGTATCACAGAAGTGCCTTGTGAGTACATACACTTCTGAAGGATCTCAGAGACTTTGTGCTGCTAATACCCTTCTGGTGCTAAGGAGTCAGCTGTGGGTCAAGTTAAAGGGGACACCGACTGGTGTCCTGAAGAGCTTTGTCCACCTAATCTAATACTTGCAGGGACTCTGCTGTGCAGTGGAATAACGTCCATACAGGATGTCTCCAACTTACAAGCCGACCTCAATACACTGTGTAATTGGGCAACTATGTGGCAAATGAGGTTTAATGTTGATAAATGTAAGGTTATGCACTTGGGGGCTAATAATACAAATGCATCATACATACTAGGGGGGTACAACTGGGGGAATCAATGGTGGAGAAGGATCTGGGGGTTCTGGTAGATCACAGCTTAATAATGGCATGCAATGCCAAGCTGCAGTTTTTAAAGTGAGCAAAATCCTCTCTTGTATTAAAAGAGGTATAGACTCCAGAGAGAGAGATATCATTTCCCCCGGTACAAATCATTAGTAAGACCTCATCTAGAATATGCAGTTCAGTTTTGAGCACCAATTCACAAAAAGAACATTGGGGAACTGGAGAAAGTACAGAGAAGGGCAACCAAACTGATAAGAGGCATGGAGGAGATCAGCTATGAGGAAAGATTAGAGGAACTGAATTTATTCTTTCTTAAGAAGAGGAGATTAAGGGGGGATATGATCAACATGTATAATACATAAGGGGGGATATGATCTCCATGTATAATACATAAGGGGGGATATGATCTCCATGTATAATACATAAGGGGGGATATGATCAACATGTATAATACATAAGGGGAGATATGATCTCCATGTATAATACATAAGGGGGGATATGATCAACATGTATAAATACATAAGGGGGGATATGATCACCATGTATAATACATAAGGGGGGATATAATCTCCATGTATAATACATAAGGGGGGATATGATCTCCATGTATAATACATAAGGGGAGATATGATCAACATGTATAAATACATAAGGGGGATATGATCTCCATGTATAATACATAAGGGGATATGATCTCCATGTATAATACATAAGGGGGGATATGATCTCCATGTATAATACATAAGGGGGGATATGATCTCCATGTATAATACATAAGGGGGGATGTGATCAACATGTATAAATACATAAGGGGGGATATGATCTCCATGTATAATACATAAGGGGGGATATGATCTCCATGTATAATACATAAGGGGGATGTGATCTCCATGTATAATACATAACGGGGGATATGATCATCATGTATAATACATAAGGGGGGGATATGATCTCCATGTATAATACATAAGGGGGGGATATGATCTCCATGTATAATACATAAGGGGGGATATGATCTCCATGTATAATACATAAGGGGGGATATGATCTCCATGTATAATACATAAGGGGGGATATGATCTCCATGTATAATACATAAGGGGGGATATGATCTCCATGTATAATACATAAGGGGGGATATGATCTCCATGTATAATACATAAGGGGGGATATGATCTCCATGTATAATACATAAGGGGGGATATGATCTCCATGTATAATACATAAGGGGGGATATGATCATCATGTATAATACATAAGGGGGGATATGATCTCCATGTATAATACATAAGGGGGGATATGATCTCCATGTATAATACATAAGGGGGGGATATGATCTCCATGTATAATACATAAGGGGGGATATGATCTCCATGTATAATACATAAGGGGGGGATATGAGCACCATGTACAATACATAAGGGGGGATATGATCTCCATGTATAATACATAAGGGGGGATATGATCTCCATGTATAATACATAAGGGGGATATGATCTCCATGTATAATACATAAGGGGGGATATGATCTCCATGTATAATACATAAGGGGGGATATGATCTCCATGTATAATACATAAGGGGGATATGATCTCCATGTATAATACATAAGGGGGGATATGATCTCCATGTATAATACATAAGGGGGGGATATGATCTCCATGTATAATACATAAGGGGGGGATATGATCTCCATGTATAATACATAAGGGGGGGATATGATCTCCATGTATAATACATAAGGGGGGATGTGATCTCCATGTATAATACATAAGGGGGATATGATCTCCATGTATAATTACATAGGGGGGGATATGATCTCCATGTATAATACATAAGGGGGATATGATCTCCATGTATAATACATAAGGGGGGATATGATCTCCATGTATAATACATAAGGGGGATATGATCTCCATGTATAATACATAAGGGGGATATGATCTCATGTATAATACATAAGGGGGGATATGATCTCCATGTATAATACATAAGGGGGGATATGATCTCCATGTATAATACATAAGGGGGATATGATCTCCATGTATAATACATAAGGGGGGATATGATCTCCATGTATAATACATAAGGGGGGATATGATCTCCATGTATAATACATAAGGGGGGATATGATCTCCATGTATAATACATAAGGGGGGATATGATCTCCATGTATAATACATAAGGGGGGATATGATCTCCATGTATAATACATAAGGGGGGATATGATCTCCATGTATAATACATAAGGGGGGATATGATCTCCATATATAATACATAAGGGGGGATATGATCTCCATGTATAATACATAAGGGGGGATATGATTTCCATGTATACAATACATAAGGGGGGATATGATCTCCATGTATAATACATAAGGGGGGATATGGTGATCTCCATGTATAATACATAAGGGGGGATATGATCTCCATGTATAATACATAAGGGGGGATATGATCTCCATGTATAATACATAAGGGGGGATATGATCTCCATGTATAATACATAAGGGGGGATATGATCTCCATGTATAATACATAAGGGGGGATATGATCTCCATGTATAATACATAAGGGGGGATATGATCTCCATGTATAATACATAAGGGGGGATATGATCTCCATGTATAATACATAAGGGGGATATGATCTCCATGTATAATACATAAGGGGGGATATGATCTCCATGTATAATACATAAGGGGGATATGATCTCCATGTACAATACATAAGGGGGATATGATTATGTATAATACATATTTATATATGTATTTATAAAGCTCCAATAGTATAATACATAAGGGGGATATGCTCATGTACAATACGGGATATGTATGTATTACATAATGGGATACAGAACACGTGACAGAACAATAACAATACAGCGGATATACATTAAAACATGGGGGGAACACGTGACCTGAACAATTCGAATTACAATGCAAAACAGGAGGGGAGAGGGGTGGTGGTACAGGTAACGACGAGCTTACAATCTAGGGGGATCGAGGCTGTGGGGGATGGTACAGGAGGAGATCGCTGTGGGGGATGGAGTAGTAGGAAGAATGGAGGAGGTCGGCAAGTTAGCAGAGGGTGGGGTAGGCTTCCCTGAAGAGATGGGTTTTCAGGGTGCGCCTAAAGGAGAGGAGAGTAGGTGATAATCTGATGGGTTGGGGCAGGGAGTTCCAGAGGATGGGTGACACCCTGGAGAAGTCCTGGAGGCGGGCATGGGAGGAGGAGACCAGGGAACTAGAGAGAAGGAGGTCTTGTGAGGAGCGGAGTGTGCGTGCTGGGCGGTACTTGGATATTAGGTCAGTGATGTAGTTCGGGGCAGTATGGTGGACAGCTTTGTACGTCAGTGTTAGGATTTTGAATTTGATCCGTTGCGCAATCGGAAGCCAGTGGAGGGATTGGCAGAGGGGGGTGGCGGAGATGGAGCGGTTGGAAAGGTGAATGAGTCTGGCAGCCATATTCAGGATGGACTGAAGCGGGGATAGCCAGCGGCGAGGCAGGCCAGTGAGGAGGGAGTTGCAGTAGTCGAGTCATGATATGATGAGGGAGTGGATGAGCTGTTTAGTGGTTTCTGGGGTTAGGAACGTGCGGATTTTGGCGATGTTGCGGAGGTGGAGTCTGCACGAGTTTGTTAAAGATTGGACTTGGGGCTGGAAGGATAGGTTGGAGTCCAGAATGACACCCAGTACTCTGGCCTGCAGGGCGGGTTTGATGGTAGCGTTGTTGGATGTGACGGAGAAATCAATGGGGGGTGGTGTCCGGGCTGGGGGAAGACAAGAAACTCGGTTTTTGGAGAGGTTCAATTTAAGGAAGTGGAGCGACATCCAGTCTGATATGTCGTTCAGTAGGTGTGTGATTCGGGCTGAGACCAAGGGGGTGAGGTGGGGGGTTGAGAGATAGATTTGTGTGTCGTCGGCATAGAGGTGGTAGTTGAAGCCGTGAGAGTGTATGAGTTGGCCAAGGGAGGAGGTATAGATGGAGAAGAGAAGGGGCCCAAGGACAGAGCCTTGAGGGACCCCAACAGAGAGGGGGAGTGAGGGGGAGGTGGTAGCATTATAGGTAACGCTGAAAGAGCGTTGTGACAGGTAGGATGAGAGCCAGGAGAGAGCAGAATCTCTGAGGCCGAGGGAGTGTAGTTTTTTGAGGAGGGGGGGTGGTCGACTGTGTCGAAGGCCGCAGAGAGGTCCAGGAGTAGGAGCACTGAATAGTGGCCATTAGCTTTGGCGGTTAGCAGGTCGTTGGAGAGTTTGAGTAAGGCAGTTTCGGTGGAGTGTAGGGGACGGAAGCCGGACTGTAGGGGATCGAGGAGGTTGTTGTCGTTGAGGTGAGAGCATAGGCGGGTGTAGACTAGGCGCTCGAGGAGTTTAGATGTAAATGGGAGCAGGGAGATGGGTCTGAGGTTGTTCGGGTCATTGGGGTCCAGGGAGGGCTTTTTAAGTATGGGGGTGATGTGTGCATGTGATATGATCTCCATGTATAATACATAAGGGGGGATATGATCTCCATGTATAATACATAAGGGGGGATATGATCTCCATGTATAATACATAAGGGGGGATATGATCTCCATGTATAATACATAAGGGGGATATGATCTCCATGTATAATACATAAGGGGGGATATGATCTCCATGTATAATACATAAGGGGGGATATGATCTCCATGTATAATACATAAGGGGGATATGATCACCATGTATAATACATAAGGGGGGATATGATCCCCATGTATAATACATAAGGGGGATATGATCTCCATGTATAAATACATCAGTGGTTCATATAGTGAACTCGGTGTAGAGTTATTCCCCCTGAGGTCATCACAGAGGACAAGGGGGCACTCTTTACATCTGGAGGAAAAGAAATGTAATCTCCAAACATGGAAAGGTTTCTTCACAGTAAGAGCTGTGAAAATGTAGAATAGACTCCCTCAAGAGTTGGTTCTGGCCAGCTCGGTGAATTGCTTCAAAAAAGTATTGGATTCTTTCTTAGATACACAGAATATAATTGGATACTAATATTTATAGGTAAAGTTGATCCAGGGAATATCCAATTGCCTCTCTGGAGATCAGGAAGAAATTTTTTCCCCGCAGCTCATGCTTTGCTGGGTTTTTTGCCTTCCTCTGGATCAACTGTGTGTATAAGATTATAACTTTTTTTTTTTTTTAATGGTTGAACTGGATGGACTTTTGTCTTTTTTCAGCCAGACTAACTATGTAACTATGCTTTTAAAGCGGAGTTCTGGGTTTTTTTTTTGTTTCTTTTTAAAGCACCCCTGTGATAGTGGCAGCTTATATCATGCAATTTGGCATAAACTGTACCTGTAATTTTTAGTTGTATTCAGGGGCGGACTGACCATTTGGTAACTCGGGCACTGCCCGAGGGCCCGGGGTCAGTAGGGGGGCCCCATGAGATGCCCCTGGTCCCCTTTTCATAGGCTTTTTGAGTTTGAGTTTGGGCAAGGACACAGGGGCCCCATGATCCCCTATTGCCCGGGGACCCCATGAGTTGTCAGTCTGCCCCTGGTTGTATTAAAAAAAAAAAAAAAGTTACTTACTGGACCCTCTGATTCTGCAAGGTTCCATCTTCAGTGTGGGCATCTGAAACCCACTCAGACATTCTTCCAAGAAATGGTCCTGCTGGCTACTCAGCATGCACCTCCCGATCTTGTGCCTGCGCAGTGAGAAGAAGGTGCCTTCCTTGTATTGAAGGGGCCTAGAGCATACCTGTAATAAGTCCTTCTTTGTCCTGGGAAAATAGATGTTATTAAAAACAGGTCCTATTTGTTATTTTTATCATATGTATCTGACTGTTAGATATATCGGATCTCATTTTCTTTCTAGAAATGGTTGTTGCTTTTAATAGATTGTGTTTGGATTGCGATATGTGGCTGGTTAAGCTGCACATTAAACCTAATTAGTAACACCGGCCGTATTTATAATTAGCCGCACGCGGCAACAGTGAAGCATGTCATTACCATAACTGATATCAGATACCAGTATCCTCTCCGGTAGGTCTTTATATATGCAGAAGATCAATGGCAGTGTACGGAAACTCCAGCAGTGCACTTCTCTTATTAGCTCCCTTGTGGTCTGTTAAACATATCATTGAAAGCATTTTGTTGTATCTGCTCGATAAGTGCAGAATCACACCTGTTGAACCTTCCAGAAATATTGTGAGCTAATAGCTTCCGGTGCTCTCTGCCTGTGCTGCACTTTTATTACTTTTCATTGCTCTCAGTTATCTCTGTAGGCTACAGAACACCACCCCTGAATGTTACGGAGAAGAGGAGAAGGGGAGGTGTTCTATAGTCCTCTCCTAGGGTGACAACACTGCTCCTCAATAGATACAGTACAGTGAGTGAGCGTTGTCACTCTAGAAAAGACTCTGGCAGGGTCACCAGGTTATTCCTGTCTGAATATGTATGTTTTTTGTGATTCTTTTGCACTTTATCCCAAGTAGACATGCGTTTTTTGTATATATTATTATTATTTAAATTTTGATCCTTTACAAATGTGGCTTCTCAGCCCATATCTTCTTGGGATATTCATTTGCTTTTATCTGTGTTTGTGTATGTTATTTCATTTTTTATTTAACTTTTTATAATTTTACTTTTTTATAATTTTTATTCATTATTTGTTTTCTCTTTCTTTGTTTCTCTTTTTATTCCACTTCATTTCTCTTTTTTCTTTTCTTCCTTCCTTGTTGTTTTCTGATATCACTGTTTTTGATACAATAGTTTTATATGTTTTACTATAATGTACTAGTAGACGCCATTATTAAAAGGGACCTGTGCTAGTTTGTAGCAGTGCATTTCAGACTCGCAAGTTATAGAGTGGAGTAGCATGCGGAGATAATTGTTTTACTATTGATAGGAGTTTTTGTATTGAAGTCTATAGGGAGGCATTTTCTCACTGAAGTCTATAGGGAGGCATTTGCGCACTGAAGTCTATAGGAGGTGTTTTTGTTATTGAAGTCTATGGGAGTCGTTTTCCCATTGAAGTCTATGGGGCGCGATTACCCAATCAAGTTTATGGGGCGCACTTTCCCAATCAAGTCTAGGAGGCACGATTTCCCATTCAAGTCTATGGGGCGCGATTTCCCATTCAAGTGTATGGGGCGCAATTTCCTATTCAAGTCTATGGAGAGCGATTTTCCGGTCAAGTCTATGGGGCACACTTTCCCAATCAAGTCTATGGGGCGTGATTTCCCATTCAAGTGTATAGGGCGCGATTTCCTATTCAAGTCTATGGGGCGTGATTTCCTATTGAAGTCTATGGGAGGCAATGTGTGACCCGGAACCTGGCACCTGGGCTTTGGCGAGCCCTACTGTACATAGCTTCCTGAAAACATCACAGCACCCTGCCTCAGTACTCTTCTCAGGAGCCCTTGGTCCAGATGTAAGCAGTGGGCTGGCTCTTGGGAGGAGTTATGCAAATATCTAAATTCCTTGATGGGTGCATATCAGTCTGGAGGAGTGGACAGTTCTAGACAGGCTGAATTTACATGCAGACTGCCCTAGGTAATACCCACATATGATGTTGAGCCCCCATGATTGAAAGAACTGAAATGTAATGAATGAAAGGAACAGGTCAGAAACAATAAGGCTGAGGTGGAAAGAGCTAGCTGATACTGGTCAGGGGCGTCCCTAGGGTAGGTGTCACCCGGAGTGGAAATACTTGATGATACTCCCCTCCTATGATCCTTGCAGAATGGATCGGACCCCAATCCACAGATCCGCTCCATTCTGCGGGGATTGTTGGTATGCAACCTATACAGGATGGCACCAGAGCCGCTCCATGAAAAGTAAGTTGTAAAGAAAGCTGTTTGTTGGGGTCTGGTGTCACCCTGTGTGGCAGTTGTCACCTGGTGTGGCGCGCACCACCAGCGCCTGCCTTGGGATGCCTCTGATACTGGGTCTCCTCCAACCTGAAAAAGAGGTGGGCTCTATTATTATTATTATACAGTATTTATATAGCGCCAACAGTTTTCTCACCGCTGTACATTATAATGGGAGACAGTACACGAGACCATACAATGACAATACAATAAACAAGGGATTCGAGGGCCCTGTTCCTTGGAGCTTACAATCTAGGAAGGAGGAGAGAGTGGTACAGGAGGAAATAGCTGTGGGGGATGGAGTGGTGGGAAAAGTGGAGGAGATCGGCAATTAGCTGAGGGTGGGGTAGGCTTCTCTGAAGAGATGGGTTTTCAGGGTGCACCTAAAGGTGAGGAGGGAAGGTGACAGTCTGATGGATTGGGGAAGTGAGTTCCAGAGGATGGGGGAAGCCCTGGAGAAGTCCTGGAGGTGGGCATGGGAGGAGGAGACCAGGGAGCTAGAGAGTAGGAGGTCTTGTGAGGAGCGGAGAGTGCGTTTTGGGTGGTAGATGGATATCAGGTCGGTGAGGTAGTTTGGGGCAGTGTAATGAACAGCTTTGTACGTCAATGTTAATATTTTGAATTTTATGTGTTGGGCTCTATGTGACTTGCTGAAGTTTCTAATGAACACTATGATAAGATCAGTGGGCAGTGAAATCAGAGTAAGCACTTTCAGTCCAGGAGAGGAGTCAGTACAACTATGTAAAGTGAAAGGTAAGGATGGAGTTCAGCATTAAAGCTGAAATCTGGGATAAGTAAATATTGACTAAAAAAGAGATGTACATGATCTCCTGGAATCTCGGCATGCTTTGTGTATTTCTCCCAGATCATTGAAGTAATCCAGTGTGAGATTTTGTCTCTTTGCAGCAGCTTCCTGTAATAAAGACCGCTCACTGCTGTTCTCTCTCCTTGTGCAGGGTGACTGGTCTTGTCTCCGCCCCCTCCTGTAGTTTTCTGCAGGCAGTCTCTAGTAGGTGGGGCCTGCTGGACCTCTCCCACAGCTCTGCTCTCTGACCAGGTTATGCATAGCAGTGAGGATGCGCTACTTTTACAAGGTAATATCAGGTTTTGCCAAGACATTTGCTGCAGACAGTGGATTTTTGACCAGTGGATATTGAGGAATATATTTTGAAAAAAAAAAAAAAGAAAAGGGTTTTATGTCCAGAGTTCAGCTTTAACATTCATTGAATGCAGTTTAGCATGCAGAACACGAGGTTCAAAATGAAGACAAGTCACAGACATTGGCAATGGTAACAAAACTGCTCGAAAACAAGTGTTTTTTTTTTTTGTTTTTTTTTATGAGGGTGGAAAGACTGATGAGAGCTCAGCCGGGAAATTCTATCCCGGTCGAGTCATAACCAGGTCAGTGCTACAGCTTTTGAAGGGTCTTGTCCTCTGGGAGAAGGTAAGAATAAGGAAGACTAAGTAGATCCTCGGCAGAGTGGAGAGGAACTCTGAAGGTCACATAGAAGTCATCTGTCTTCCCGGTCCCCGGTGTACACTCACACGCCACTTCTCGATACCTGATTGACTTCGCCGAAATAAGCGGTTTGATTCACCGAACGCAGATTGAAGGTTGGAGACTTTCCGCGGAATGGGATATGAGCCGCGATATTGATAAATCAATATTTTTTTGGATGAGAAATATTAACATTAACAGAGTAATATGTCCGTTAAGATATATGATGCCTGCTGTTCGGCCTTGTAGCAGCAAAGCCTCTTTTTTTTTCCCTGTTGCTTTTGTGTTTTCTGCTGAAAAAAGAGAATGTTAATGTTCTGTGTTTTATGTTTCATTATTAAAGTGGAATGATCACTCCTAGTAGATTTCATATTATTCCTAGCATTCATCCTGCACAGGGAGGGTGTTCTCCAAAATCACTGGAATTGCCAAAATTCTTTCTACTAAATGCTTCTAAAACCCACGTGTACCAATATGTTCCATGGATCTAAACACAATCCTCTGTACTCAGTCCTCATGCACACGGGATGTTTTTACAGCGGCTGTTTTTGGCTTTTGACGTTTTTTCTACAGCCAGTAAACCCCCCAGCATGTTATCCTATGTGTCCATGCATGCAGACTGTAATCAATGTTTTTTGGCTGGAAATAAAACCCAGGACTAGTGGGTCTCTAGAGGAGTTTTTTAGCTCTAAAAATGCTCTAACGCTGAAAAACGCGGGAAAACGTGGTAAAGTGCCGCAAACCGGTGTTTTTGGATTTTTTTGTTAGTAGAAAAAAATGCTAAAAAACGCAAACCCACTAAAACACTGCTAAAAGCTAATGCAAAAACACAAAAATTAGCTGAAAAGCTCACGTTTTTAACATGACGTTACACAGCTAAAGTTACCAGCGTTATCAAGACGTCAAATTTGCATGAGGACTCAAAATGGCTGCAAGCCATTATATACATCAGTGTTTCTCAACTCCAGTCCTCATGGACCCCCAACAGGTCATGTTTTCAGGATTTCCATTATTTTGCACAGGTGATTTGATCAGTTTCACTGCCTTAGTAATTACCACAGCTGTTTCATCAGAGGGAAATCCTGAAAACATGACCTGTTGGGGGTCCATGAGGACTGGAGTTGAGAAACACTGATATACACTCACTGAAATAACTGGCTTTAGGTGATACACAGAAATGAAACAAATCCTCTTACAGAAGTTGTACTTGTTTATCTGTTGCCCTTACCTTTCTTTTTTTTTTTTTTTAATTCCACAAAAGTGCAAAAACACCAACACAAACTGTTTTTTCTGTGTTTTTTTTTTTTTTTCCCCATATGCCATACTCCTTTTGTTGTTGTTGCACATTAGGGAGAGTGTTCTGATCCAATTGCAAAGGACCAAGTCACCCTAATTTGCATACCTTCCCTTAGCCCTCAAGAAGTATAAGATTATTCAAAAATATGCAGATTTGTTTCACACATTTCCCACCCAGATAAACCCCTACTTTTTCCCACATGCCTGCTTGACTTGTTGAATCAGACACACACTAATCAAATCAATCACCCCTCCCACCATCCCTAGCTTATCCTTCTGTAAATAATAATGATTTTGGACCATACTATTTTAATTTAGGGAGAACATTGTAATGTATCTTGATTGGGGACCTGTGATGTAATATGAGAGCCTGAGACTAGGATGATGCATAGTTTATGAAATAACATCACATCAGTCTCTCAATTACATCACAGGTTCCCCCCCCCGCATCAACAGAGAGGGAGAGAGTGCAAATATGCTAATTAGATACAATGCTCTCCAAAAGTTAAAATAGTATGGTCCAAAATCATCATTATTCACGGAATTTGGGAGGATTGATCCATTTGAACAATGTGTGTCCAATCCAAAAAACCGAGAGGGAATCTGGGAAAAAGTAGGGCTTTTCTGGGTGGGAAATGTGTCAAAAATAAAAAAAAGTGGCTGTGTAATTGAGAACCTGAGACTAGGGTAATGCATAGTTTATGAAATAACATCAGAGTCTCTCAATTGCGTTTTAGGTCCCCCCATCAAGGGAGACTGCAAATATACTAATTAGATACAATGTTCTCCCTAAGTTAAAATAGTATGGGAGAAAATCATTATTATTCACGGAAGCAGGGAGTGTTGATCAATTTGAACAGTGTGTGTCCCATCCAAAACACCGAAAGGGCATCTGGGAAAAAGTAGAGCTTTTCTGGGTGGGAAATGTCAAAAATAAAAAAGTGGCCGTGTAATTGAGAGCCTGAGACTAGGATAATGCGTAGCTTATGAAATAACATCACATCAGAGTCTCTCAATTACATCTTATGTTCCCCCCCCCCATCAAAGGAGAGTGCAATTGCTAATTAGATACAATGCTCCCCCTAAGTTAAAATAGTATGGGCCAAAATCATCATTTTTCACAAAAGCAGGGGGATGGTAGAAGGGGTGATCTGTTGGATCAGTGCTTGTCTGATCCAACACATTTTTTAATAATCCCATACTTCTTGAGGCAAGGTATGCAAATTAGGGTGAAACACTCTCCCTAATCTGCAACAACAAAAGGAGTATAGCTAAGGTCAGTGTGCTTGTGCCTAGTGTTAGCCATAGAGTATAACTGGGGCCAATTCTTGGTTGTCACTGCACAGTGCAGCTAAGTATTACATTTGTTATTTTAAGTATATAAAAAATTTGGTGACTGAATAGGATAAAGATATATACTGCTGATGCTCGTGTGACCAGCCATTAGAAACGTGATTACATTTATGAGGCAGATAATAAGTGATGAATCGCTTGAGATCATAAGGATTTGGCTGAATCTCTGTCTGGGCTACCAGCAGCAGATGATGCTCAGGAGAAAGAGTAACATGTTCCTGGATGGTAGGGCTCGTGTCTTTGTCATTTACTGTTAGACTGCTCGATGGGTCATTCCTGGGATCATTAAGGAGCCAGCGGGAAGGTGGCAGACTGGGCATCCTGCCTTATTCTTAATATGCTTTACCTGGCCTGGCAGCTGCTTGAACATAAAAACTGCAGCCGGCAAACAGCCCTGGACTGCCAACACATCTTCAGCTCCAGTGAGCAACCTGGCACTGCCAGTCATTAAATGCTGGGTGAAAGCCTTGGCACCGCCAATCACAAAAGCAAGTGGCTTGCCAAGAGCTAGGGTTGGATAGTTGTCATGTAGCTGCAGCCAACTGTTGAATACAGAAATCCCCGTCGATGGGAATATAAAAGCTTTAAGAGCAATCATAACTAGAAAAGCTACACTTTCTGGGGAAATTGTGTGAAGTGTTCTTGCCTCCACCAGTAGTCTGTTGTGTGGCTGGAGTGGCTGGAGTAACTGTTGTGTGGCTGGAGTGGCTGGAGTAACTGTTGTGTGGCTGGAGTGGCTGGAGTAACTGTTGTGTGGCTGGAGTGGCTGGAGTAACTGTTGTGTCCCTTCTCGGCCTTTTGGCTAAGATCAAGTGTAGTATCTGTTCTTATCAGTGTCCAGTGGGGGTGCTCCCGGCCATTCTAGCTTTGCGGGGATGGCTGTTGTATAGTACCCTCACTGGTATGATGGGGGTCCGGAAGGCTAGTACCGGAGGGACAGAAACCGGGGAGCGCCACGAGTTATGCTGGGGCCCCGGGAGTAATTCCTCCGAGAAGACTGGAAAGACCCAGTACCTCCTGATTTGGACGGATCTACCTTGGTCTGGCCAGGGGCTGGGAAGGCAGAGAGTCCGCAAACTAGGTGCCCCCTGAGTAGTTGCCTCAGGGGTGCTCTGAGTAGCACTTGAGTGTGGGACCCCACGTTGCGAATGAGCACATGGTCACCGAGTTTAAACACTTTTTGCACTGCGCCTCTAGGACCGGGCCTTTTGGTCAAGTTCTGGGAAAATTTTTTTTGCTACAGGCCTCAGGGTCTGGTCAGTGCACAATTTGGGCACGACACTTTTTATTATTTTTTATAGATTTATTTAATTATTTATTTATTTATTTTCCTCACCCCACGTTTGTCACTTTTTACTTATGTGTGTGTTTTCCTCACAGGATGGAGGATGTGGGTCCTCGGGCCTGCCCTGAAGTCTAGGGGGAGGATGTGTGGCCTTTTGGTTCCTTCCTCCCCTGTCCCTAGGGGGTTTTCTCTTCGGGAGAACCCCCTGGCCTAGTACTGGATGTCCGGCTTTGGCTGGGCATAAGGAACGGTAGTCCACCAGGCCTTTTGGCCAGGAGGACCAAATGGGAACCTTGTCCCTGTCAGGAGCTTCGTGCCCCAGGGGAATCAGGGTAGCGGTCCAACCCCTTCGGGGGTAGGAAAAAAGCACACCCTTAAGTGCACTTTTTGTGTGGTGTTTTGCACTTGCACTTTTTTTGTGAACACTTACGGGTTTTTTCGTTATAGTTGCACGTTTGCAGACTTAAAAAAAAAAAAAAAAAAACTGTTGTGTGGTTTGGAGTGGCTGGAGTAACTGTTGTGTGGTTGGAGTGGGCGGAGTAACTGTTGTGTGGTTGGAGTGGGCGGAGTAACTGTTGTGTGGTTGGAGTGGCTGGAGTAACTGTGTGGTTGGAGTGGCTGGAGTAACTGTTGTGTGGTTGGAGTGGCTGGAGTCAGTGTGAAAAGGTTGGACTGGGCAGAGTAACTTTATGGAGTGGGCAGAGTAACTGTGTGGCGTGTTTAAACAATAATAAAACAGTGTAGCGCTAACACAAAAAACTAAATATGATAACCACAATCAATAGAAAATAAACATGGAATAAAAAGAAAATAGATGACTATAACTGCACAACAATCAATCCCCCTAAAACCACACTTGAGGGATCCAATATAAATAAATGAATAAGTGCATATACGTAATACCTTGCAACTTTTGAAACATAAGCAGTGCAAATGGTGTTAAGTGTCATCAAGGCACACAAAATAGGTGAATGACACTAATGAGGGTATAAACTGCAAAACAAATAATGAATTAACATCCCAAAAAACAACACATATGATGGTGCTCCAACTTCACTCTCATGCAAATAGTGATGTGTGATCAGTAGGTGATAATCCTCCAGTGGTCAAATCGCCTCCTCACCTCCTTACATATACCCCAAAGGGCCAGCTCGCTTTGGGGATCAACCGATCCTACAAGGACAGACTCCTCCCAGGCTTCCCCTCAGTGATGGTATACATCTCAAGCCTCCACACAGCTATCAGTAAGCATTTCCCAGGATCATAGTAAGACACAAAAAAGATCCTCCATAGTGCAAACTTGTTTATTCCAGCATAAAAATCAATATAAAAATGCCCACTCACGTTGTATACTTCACATATCAGCTTGTCTACCACATGCTAAGGGTGTACTGCATGGGTATCTGAAAAAGGTGTTCCAATATGGCCCCCATGCCGGAAATGATGTCACCACGTGGCCGGAAGCTCCTCCCCGAGTACCGACGCGTTGCGTCACGCTTACCATGTGACTTCCTCAGGTAACCCTATGCTACATTAATCTTTACCGTGTGTTTTAGGTAATAATGACAAGTACAACTTTAAATGCTTGTGAAGGGTAGAATTTGTCTTTTAATTGCTGTTAGGGCAGTTTCATATTTACCTCAGTAACTACCAGCATAAACTCCAGCAATGAGCAAATACAGTATGTTGTAAAATAAGCAGCTGTGCTTGCAGAGCAGGGGCAGACTGACCATTCGAGCACTCGGGCTCTGCCCGAGGGCCCGGGGTCAGTAGGGGGCCCCATGAGATGCCCATGATACCTTTCATAGGCTTTTTTGGGTGTGGTTTGAGTGTTGGTGAGGACACAGGGGCCCCATTATTAGCACTTTTGCAGTTCAGTGCTGGGGCCCTAGGATTAAATAGTTGTGAACATACAATGTTATAGACACTAAATTTTTTTTTAACTTTGTAAAGCAACTTTATTGAAACAAAAACAACAATGGTACAACATAAAACATATATATATATATAACAAAAAAAGGGGAAAGAGGAGGAAAAAAGAAGGGGGGGAAGAAGTAGAATGAAAAATGCATGCCCCCCCGCAGTTTAGGGCGTGCTAACATTAACACAAATCACATGGTACACTGCAAACAACTGGAATATCAGAAACATTATCTCTGAGCACACATGAGACGCTAGGACAGGGGTATAAAGGCATAACGGATAATACAAAAACAGTTCGTCAAGCAGCAGAAGTAATAGACAGGAATAAATATACAAATGCAGTGAGCGCTCTCGTTAGCAGCTGAGCATTCAAGGAAAAACATATAAAAAGTCCCAAAGAATATGTATATAAAAAATGCAGCACTATCTGGTATTATTATGCTATAGGCAATTATGATGAAGAAAAAATTAAATACAAATGAATATATGAAATAAAATAAAATAAATCACAATCCAAAGAAAGTGCTCGCTGATTCCCAGTGCAGATGGTAGAAATGCACACTAACCAGAAGTGTATTGGTAATACACATAAGTGTAAAATATCCTGAAGATTCCCCTCTCTTTTCTGGTCTGGTCATGGGCAGGAGCTGGAAAATATGAAGATGAAGCACCCTCGTGTGGAGAGGATGAGGTCCAGCAGATCAGAGAAATCTTTACCAAGATGTCCCCCCTCTCAGGAGCTGGTACAGAGAACACTCTGGGGCTGCAAAAATTTAAAAGGCTCCGATTGCTGGTGTGGAGGTGGGTATTGGTAGCCTTAGTTCTTGAGCCAGTGAATGGCAATCCATTCATCTATAAGCTGTGCAGGCTGTCTGACAATACGCTTCTGGTTAGTGTGCATTTCTACCATCTGCACTGGGAATCAGCGAGCACTTTCTTTGGACTGTGATTTATTTTATTTCATATATTCATTTGTAATTTTTTCTTCATTTAATTGCCTATAGCATAATAATTTTGCAAATTTAGTTAGAAAAGCTGCCAGAATCACAGGGGGAAACGCAGATTTATAGACACCTTTAAATTTGGTTAACTGGTTTTGTTTAGTTTCAGAAATGATCTTTCTTTCCTTTTTACAAGGAAAAAATGTTTTGCCATGTAACCAGGGGCGGACTGACAACTCATGGGGCCCCTGTGTCCTTGCCAAATTCAAAAAAACCTTTGAAGAAGGAACCAAATTCATGGGGCCCCCTACTGACCCGGGCCCTCGGGCAGTGCCCAAGTTTCCAAATGGTCAGTCTGCCCCTGCATGTAACCAATCATTGCTTCTGCCTGATAATGGGGGCAGGGTTACAGGACACTGTGCAGGTATCCAGTGTGCCTGTATTCCATAGTCTGTTCACTGTGTTCAAGAAGCAAGCTGTGGTTGGGAGAGTGTTCTGATCCAATTGCAAAGGACCATGGTCACCCTAATTTTCATACCTTTCCTCAAGAAGTGTGGGATTATGCAAAAATATGCAAATTTGTTTGACATACATTTCCCACCCAGAAAACCCCTGCTTTTTCCCAGATGCCCGCTCGGTTTGTTGGACAACAAAAGGAGTATGGCTTATGGGGGAAGACAGATGGATCTCCAGTACCAGTTGTTAGCTAGAGACAAAGAGTAGGATGAAGCTGACACGTTTCGAAGGGGGGGGGGGTCTCTACGCTTGATGGGATTTGCATGTCTCCTAGTCCAGGGACTCGTTTCTGGGATTTTATATGCTACTCTTGTGAGTATATTTCCTATATCAATAAATCTGCAAATTTCTTACTGAGGTCATGCGCAAGGTTGCTGCACTCTGTTTTTTGTTCTTTACTACAGGGCACAGACAGTGACAGGGGTTCTCATCACCTTACCACCATCTAAAACTAAAATACAAAGTTTTGCCTTTAGTTTTACTTTTAAAAGGCTTTTATTGTTCTCCTGATATCAAGGCTGTTGTTTTCTAGGGTGCTGTGCTCACAGTTTTATTTTAGCATGTTTTAATGACACTTGTACTTTTTAGCTGCTTTTTCCTGCCTTTGACAGCCGCCTTCAGCTTATGCTTGCGTAAAAGCATGTAAATGAGTTTAAACACTGTAAACCTCCATGTAACAGCCAGGCTCCCGAAGGCTGTAGGGCGCTTATACTCAGCCCCTGCCAGTAAGGATACAGCAATCAGTTCCCCCTGATCCTCGGGAGTGATTCTCAGACACGGACGCAACAGTAGTTACATGTCTTTGCTGCATGGGGCCTTCCATCAAGCCGGAGCAAAACAGATGACTCACTCGTAGCTAGCTGGCCAACACATTAAAAAGGGACAGAAAGTCCTGCTCAGCAGTCTGATGACCACGATCACATTAGCCAAGTCCATATTACACACTGCATTTACACGGGGTGACAGGCTCATGCACAGTGGTGTCACTAGGGGGGTGTGGGCTGCAGGTGACACCATCACAGGGGGTGACACCAAAATGAAAAGAAGAAAATTTGTTAGAGCAGACATGGCTTTCTCTCTCAAGTCTATTGATGACAAGTTCTGACACCGGCTCGGTCCCAGCACACAGGTGAAGCGGCCCATGCCACCAGTGGAGGGCTCCGCTCCGGGTCTTGTCACACAAACCCCCCCAGCACTCCACTCCGGGTCTTGTCCCCAACCCCCCAGCACTCCACTCCGGGTCTTGTCCCCAACCCCCCAGCACTCCACTCCGGGTCTTGTCTCCAACCCCCCCAGCACTCCACTCCGGGTCTTGTCCCCAACCCCCCAGCACTCCACTCCGGGTCTTGTCCCCAACCCCCCAGCACTCCACTCCAGGTCTTGACTCCGCCCCGGTCACCAGCTTAGAAATAGGAAAATTCACTAATTATTACAGGTACTTATATAGCACCATCACCCGGGCGGCACAGTGGCTTAGTGGTTAGCGCTTCCACCTGGCAGTACTAGGGTCGTTGGTTCAAATCCCAACTACTCCTGCCTGGAGTTTGCATGTTCTCCCTGTGTTTGCATGGGTTTCCCCCAAGTACTCTGGTTTCCTCCCACACTCCAAAGACATGCTGGTAGGTTAATTGGATCCTGTCTAAATTGGCCCTAGTATGTGTATGTGAGTTAGGGACCTCAGATTGTACGCCCCTTGAGGGTTAGGGACTGATATGAATGTACAATATATATATATGTAAAGTGCTGTGTAAATTGATTGACTATATAAGTACCTGAAATAAATAATTTAAGCAGCGCTTTACATATATATATTGTACATTCACATCAGTCAAATGTGGCACAGCCAAAATTTATATCACGGGTCACATTCGGCAGGCAGTACCGGCCTATTCAAATGAACAGGGGCATGCCACAAATGCATGTAATGCTCACAGCTGCAAAGGGGTGTGGCAGGCTTTCTTTGGTTAACACAGGAGACACACATCACCTCCAAATGCCTCTGAAAAGTGATCTACTGTACAGGGGTGGACTGACCATTCGAGTACTCGGGCGCTGCCCGAGGGCCCCGGGTCAGTAGGGGGCCCCATGAAATGCCCCTGGTACCTTTTTTATAGGCTTTTTTGAGTGTGCTTTGAGTGTGGGTAAGGACACAGGGACCTCATGATGCCCTATTGCCCAGGGGCCCCATGAGTTGTCAGTCCGCCCCTGCTACTATATATTGTTTTCAGAGAGGAGGCAATGACGGATGCACATCTAAAAATGCCGTGTTGCATTACTGAAGTGCAGCAAAGGAAAATCTGGTCTCCTTCCCTACCAGACTGCTGTGTGTCAGGGCTGTGTATATCTCTAAACTGGATGGACGGTAACACAAATAGTTTGGCAAGTAAACAGCTCCTTTTATGTGATGTGTGTTTAGCTGCTTTCCTGTTTTTAATGAACACATAACCGAGGGGTGATTTTATATATCTGCCTACGCTTTTCATTTATCGAATGTTCATGTGCATGAGTTCAGTTGACAAAACAACAAAAGAATGACAGCTGTAAAAAATCATTCCTGAGACTTGAAAACTCGTGGTGGGGGTGAAGCTGCAGGTAGCGAAGCAGTTAAATATGGATTCCATATTCCGAAATGCTCCTCTGTCTTCCGCCGAGCGTTATCTGCTCTGTTTGATGGCGTCTGAAATGTGCTGTATGAAAAAAAGCATGTCTATGATCACAGGTGGAGGAGGGAGTCTTCTTTATTCATTGCCGGAAGACTGATCGCGGGATAAAAACCAAAGTATAATGTAAGAAGTGTTTTTCTTTTCATTTCATATCAGAGTCACCATTCGTCTTGTTAGCGGGATTTCTAAAGTGAGCTCTGGAACTTTTTATTTTTTTTTTTTTCCAATTCTGGCAGGATTTTATCCTCGCAATCACACCCACCGACGCTTTTTAAAGTTCAAGAACAGAAGGTGAGAGGTCCTTTATACCTAAAAAAAGTATATGACCTATACATCAGAGGGAATAATCGGAGGCGGAATGCAAGAACGTTTAAGAATAATACCTGAAAAACGCACTTATTATTTTCAGGCGTAGGTTTAGGATTAGCTACAAAAATCTGATCTTTGTGAATATAATATTGCAGCAATGAAGGTGAAGGAAGGAGGGCTGGGCTCAGGGGTAGCTTGCTTGAGTGCTTCATCAGGAAGGCAGGACCTGCAACCTACACCACCAAAACAGTTGACAGTTTAGTTGGAAGGGGGCAACCTTTGGCCTTTCCACCTCAGGTGCTGAAGGACTTTATAATGCAGGACCACCCATATGGAAGAAAAATATATTTGGAATATATTTTAAAAATATTCTTCCCAAATATATTGACATATATTTGAAATACTACATTTTTTGCCATATTCAATATATTTAAAAAATAATAATAAAAAAAAAAAATATATATATATATATATATATATATATATAATGTATGTTGAACTGTATGTTGAAATGTGTTTTTATTACAATATACATGAAAAATCTAAAAATAAATTTCAAATCAAAGGCGGAATGCAAGAACGTTTAAGAATAATACCTGAAAAACGGACTTACAGTCAGGTCCATAAATATTGGGACATCGACACAATTCTAA